TTTTTTCGATTTAAGTTGTTGAAAAATAATGAATATCTAAATCCCGGGAGCCCGGTATTGTGAAACCAATATCCCGAAAATTCCGGGATAGAAAAAAGCTGAAAAATTAACATCCCTAGTTCAAGTAAATAAAAAAAATCTGTACTACTGAGTATTTTTATTGCGCGTTATCTAAAATTTTAGGATTCCAGTACATTTTGTTGGGAAACGAATTCAGCTTTTATAAAAAAAACTCCAAAGTTTTCACCATTATTTAATATTTATGTCTATATAAGTACAAATGACTACAAAAAAATAATGCGACTAAATCTCTAATATGTATTCTTCCATGGCCATAAAAAGGATGGCCCTTTCAATATTCCGCAAGAAATTGCCAGTTATATGAAGTGTGATACCAAAGCTTTAAATATTTTCCAAATCGTACTGCTAGATGTCCTTAAATAATTTACTCCGATTTGGCATGTTCCTCGCTGGTACGCTCCGCTTTATGTTCTTGCTTTTCATTCTGGACTCGTTGCAATAGTTGTGCTCTCTTTAGCTTAACCATTAACTGAAAGGAGTTGTACATCCAAGTGCCCTAGGAAAGTTCCAAATCGATTACCAGTTATAGTTTGTTGAGAATACTTTATCCTTCTTCCTCACAATTATAAGCATACAATTCAGCAAAATCGGCATTGAAAAGACTGTCGATATAAAAAGTCCATTGCTATCAAAGTACTGCTGTTTGGAGAAACTTTGCCATCTCGCCGCCGCATACTCATTTATGTTCTCTGTGCAGTAGGCTGCTGATACTACAAGTGGAAAAGAAATTGAAGAGTCTAACCGTGAAAAACGCAAAGCGGTTGCGAAAACAATTACAGAGTATTAAGAATAGAACTACTTGGAAATTGCTGCTATTCCTTGTCATCAAAGTGGTCACCGTAATCAATACATGTAATAGCATCAGACCAATCAGCCACGGATCCTTCCAATCAATCTGTTAATACAAAATAATGCCGAAAGTAAAACATTGTGAATAAACTACATACATAGATTTACTTAAATTTGCTTACGCTTGCCAAATATGTCCAGTATCCTGTGATTTCATTAACTTCAATAAAATTAGGATCTACCATAATTATTATTATTTTATTTAAAAGCTAATCAACAAATCCTGATATTCACGAGGGTTGAGGGTTGAATGAAAAATGTAAATAAATGCGAGGGCTGTCAAATTGATTCTTGCCAGATGTGAAGAAAAAGAAAATGGGTTATTTTTTTCTGGAATAAAGGGGAAATACACCATACAAGCGGCTTGACAAACTTACTTCGAACCTTCTTTCATCATTCCACCATACACCATGCAGACATGACTCGTTCAAACAAATCATTTTATAGCCCTCGGTTCACAATGTTGCAAATGAGCAAATTTACCATACACACGCAAGCGGTTTTACCAACTGCCAACAAGGCCGTCAGAAAAAAATAAAAATTTAATTTTTGTTCAAATTGCCCCCAATTGGCTTGTCAAACCTTCAAACACCCTCATACTAAAGAGCGAAATACACCACACAAGCGGTTTGACAAACCAAGCGAAATTTCCCTTTGCTTCAAGCCATTTGTGCTGTGTATGGGGGTGTTTGAAGGTTTGACGGCGGTTTGTCAAACCTTCAAACACCCCCATACACAGCACAAATGGCTTGAAGCAAANCCAATATTCAACTCTTAAGAAAAACAAAAACTCCATATAAAAGCAAAAACTTCATATACATAGAAGCAAAAACTTCATATAAAAGCAAAAACTCCCTACAAGAAGTAGCTAAGAAATTTTGTTTTCTAAAATTTGCTTGAGGCAGTACGCAGTTCTTAAGAAATTTGCTACTCTTTCTACAACGCTTCGCGTTCTTACGTGATCTTGTATTTTTGGTTCATGGTGCCCATCTCTGGATATTTCGCTTGTCAAGCTGCATGCGGGCTGTATCATGAACCAAATATACAAGATCACATAAGAACGCGACGTTGTATTTGTAACTGGTTCCGAGAAAAAAGTTTGCGAAAGCTGATTCGTCAGCTGAGCGTTTGTTTACATCACAAGCACCACTATTTTACACTTTTATTCAAGTAAAGAAGAGTTAATTCAACATGACAACACATTTTAAAGCATTTTGTTGCATCATTTTACCTAAATTGTGCGTTTAAAGTGGCTGACTTTGGTTTTCGTTGTTTTCTTTGCTTTGTTTACTTTTCGCTCGTTTTCCAGTGAAACAAGATGGCGTAGAACCCGCTAAAAAAATCGACTTTTTCACTTGGGGTGTTCACAGTTCGTTCCAAATTGTGTCTGAAAATGTAGACGTCTACATTTTGAGACATTTTTAGCATCAAACTGTGAGCACCCCTTTCTAGCAGTCGTCGCAAAATCGTCTCAAAACTTTGCTGGTGTTGCCAGACATTTCTTGTTTGCGTGCATTGTTTATATGTCGCCTTTCGATTTTGTTTCTGAAAAATTGTAATTATTTAACTTAATTACCAATTCGTAATATTTGTTATTCCTTTTCCTTGATTTGTTTCTTTTCATCAGAAATTGCGCTCAAATTAAATGCAAATACAGAAAACGTGCCCAATAAATAAAAAAAATGTGATTAGTATTGCAATAATGCAACCCTGCTGCGAGGTTGCAAAATGTAGACGCGTAAAAAACATACCTTTGAGTGTGACAAAATGTAGACGGCGTCGTTTTCCAATTTTGTATGGGAAACAACAACACCACAGATTTTACGGTTAGAAAACGTCTTAAAATGTAGACGTCTACATTTTGAGACACTATTTGGAACGAACTGTGAACACCCCAACTCTCTTGTTCTTACGTGATCTTGTGTCTTTCGTTCATGGGGTTGTATGTATTTCGCTCTTAGGGCCCTGTCACACGGTCAGTAATATCTCGATATTTGGATCGCGATCCATATTGATGGATCGCGCACGAATGCTCAATGTTCAATATTTATCGCGTCAGTATTTGCATAATTTTTGTGCTGAACGCTTATTATGACGCAAGAAAATATTTTTATTTTGTACGTAACTCGTAAGTTTACGAGGCTTTTATGGGAACGTCGCCTTTGTGAAAAGGTGTTAATAGTTGCGTAAAGTGACGGTTTGACAGATCAACCAGGGTTTTGTGAAGCAATTTTTGTTTCGTAGTATTTTCTATAACATCCCGCCATCTTGTCTCTATAACTATAAGCGAGCAGACTCCACCGAACTCAGGAGCAGGTGTTTGGGCGAAGACTGATGGAGATTGTGGGACAAACCAGTTGTGGGTTATCGAAGCAGCACAAAATTCTAGACCGGACATACTTATTGGTAAAACCCTGGCTAAAACAAAAAAAATTGGACGCTTGTCATTTTTTGTTAGGAATGCCAACGTGCAACGACAATGACAAAATCACGACAATGAAGGATGATCAATTGTCATTTTATTGCAAAACCGGAATAGGGCTGTAAGTGCTCACTGTTCAAAAAAGAGGAAAACTACTTAGGGCACAAGGTGACAACGGAGGGCATCTGTACTGCGAATGAAAAGATAGAAGCAGTAAAGGATTGGCCAAGACCTAAGAATCTGCAAGAACTACGAAGTTTTCTTGGGCTATGTACCTACTACCGTCGATTTGTTCCGAATTTCGCCAGCGTTGCTAATAGCCTCCACGAGCTCACTAGGAAAAACAGAGCCTTCGAACGGAACAAGGAGCAGAAGGGGGCTTTCCAAACTCGATCGATTGGAAAACAAGAGAGGAACTACTGCGTAACTCGCAGAGAACTACTAGCGTTGGTGGAGTGCGTCAAACATTTCCACAAGTACCTCTATGGGCAACGAACGGTTCATGCAGCGCTGAAGTGGCTACTACAGTTCAAGAATCCANATCCTTTCCCTGGTAGCGAAGACACTCAAGGTCCTGCTGCTCCCGTACTTCACGAACCACCTGACCCCAGCGAAGCATCAACATCCGTAAAGTGCATAGTACAACAACAGCACTTAACGCCATAAACACTCAGATAACTCCTAAACCGAAACCGCCCTGTGAGAGAACTATTCTAGTAGCGTTGGACCTGTCCAAGGCGTTCGACACTGTCAGTCATTCAACGCTACTAGAAGNACGGTTCATGCAGCGCTGAAGTGGCTACTACAGTTCAAGAATCCAGAAGGACAGCTAGCTCGGTGGATTGAGAGACTGCAAAGTTATGACTTCCGCNCAACATGTCTATGGCCACTCTCGTCATTCCAGACATCTGGAAAATGGGGAGAGTGGTCCCACTGCTCAAACCGGGGAAACCAGCCAACAAAGGAGAGTCTTATCGCCCGATAACTATCCTTTCCCTGGTAGCGAAGACACTCAAGGTCCTGCTGCTCCCGTACTTCACGAACCACCTGACCCCAGCGAAGCATCAACATCCGTAAAGTGCATAGTACAACAACAGCACTTAACGCCATAAACACTCAGATAACTCCTAAACCGAAACCGCCCTGTGAGAGAACTATTCTAGTAGCGTTGGACCTGTCCAAGGCGTTCGACACTGTCAGTCATTCAACGCTACTAGAAGATATAGAGGCCTCCTCACTCCCACAGGGACTAAAACGGTGGTCGGCGAATTACCTGAGTGATCGACACTCGTCAGTAATCTTCGGAGACAAAACCAGCAAGCCACGTAAAATTAAACAGCGGGTACCACAGGGTGGTGTCCTGTCCCTGCTACTGTTTAATTTTCACATATCAAAGCTTCCTCAGCTACCGGTTACCTCTCCGAACTTTCTCGCTTCTTCACTGCAAGGAGCCTTGCCCTATCCCCTGCGAAATCCTCGGCAACCCTTTTCACCACCTGGACGAAGGAGGTCAGACTGCCACAGGGTACAATACCGACGGTGAATAACCCGAATATCCTCGGAGTTACCTTCGACAGTCTGCTCTCCTTCTCGGCGCATACAACCGCAATTGCCAACAAAGTACAGAGCCCCAACAATGTCCTCAAGTCGTTGGCCGGCAGCACTTGGGGCAAAGATAAAGAAACGTTGTTGGCAACATGCAAGGCAATCGGCCGGCCGGTTCTGAATTACGCAGCTCCCGTATGGTCGCCGGGGACTAGCAGGACGCAGTGGATGAAGCTGCATACCTGCCAAGACACGGCATTACGAACTGCGACAGGATGCCTCCTGATGACGCCTCAACACCACCTTCACGACGAGGCCCAGATGCTCCCAGTAAAGGAGCATAACATAATGCTCTGCAAGCAGTTCCTCGCTAGGAGCCACAGGCGTGGCCATCCCAGCGGGCAACTACTCGCGGAAGAGCCCTCGCCACGACACGTCAGGAGGCATCTTTACGAACTGACAGACGAAGTCCAGAGGTATATTAAACAACCTCTGGACCCGTCAACCTACCGACAGGCCCTGAACGGCATTCACAAGGAATCAGTCTCAGGTTATGTAGACTCCCGCCCTGTGAATGCCGTTCTAGGCACACAACCACCGGACGTGGGCGGGACATAAATTTATCTGCCTCGGGAGACCCGCACTACAATAGCCCAACTTCGCTCTGGCTATTGCAGCAGGCTCAACAAGCTACCTGAGCAGAATCAACGAGGATGTGCCCAACCAATGCCCGGCATGTGGAGAGTCGCCACATGACTCCCGGCACCTCTTCACATGCCCTGAGGATCCCACTCAGCTAACGCCCCTTTCCCTAAGGACAGCAAATCTGGAAGTAGCACACTTCCTGGGCCACCCCCTAGCTGAAACAGACGACAACGTTGATGGATGAACCGCCCCGAACGGGGCCTAGTAGCCGCTACAACAACAACAACAACTAAGACGAACGAGAGTACAAAGCTTGTTGCCTAGCACGAGCAACTCGGTGCCCTTCCCCCTTCCTCCTCGCCCCCTCTCCAACAAGTAACGAGTTGCCGCCACAAAAGTTTCTTCGTCTAAACCTAGACTTATGATAAAAAGCATTAAGACTAAATTTTGCAGCTGGCAGTTCTGTTGGAGATGTTTTTCGCCTGACGTAAACGAATTCGCCTTGACGATCAACCCATTGTCGCCGCGAAGGGGCAAGAGCAACGTGAAAATTTTCGCGATTTGCTGGTGTAAATTGATAAAAAAATACAATTTGACAAAATTTGGTAGAGATTTGAAAAAGTGTAAAAAAATTACAAATTCATTACGGAAAACAATTTACGTATAGCAGCGGCAGCAAAACATTTCATTAAAACGTCTCATCTGTATACCTACATACATACTTATGTATAGGAATAAAAATATACCAATCGTGAAAACATCAGCGTAAAGCAAAGTGATTTCTTCGCAAAACAGGAATTACTAATTGATTAACTGGAGCGCAAGCTGTGTATTTTGTATTTCATAAAGAAAATTGTTTTGTGCGAGACTCCAAAGAAGTGACGAATAACGCTGCATCTATTTTATTAAGGTCGTCGGCCGACCGTCATTGGCCACTGTCCCCCAAATTGCTGTCATTTTCGTGAGCGTGTGTGTGCATTGCTTCCGCCTGATTTCAGCTGCGACGTTCCGTGCTATTCGTTATTCCAATTAACGGAATAGTGCAGGCGGCAGACGCCAGCTAACGCTAGCAAATCGTTCCCAGGGAGCGGCAGACGCAGACGACGTGTGCCCGTGTCTGCAAAGATGGCTGTTAAGCAAAACAATACAGAAGCCAACGCTACGCCCGCACCCGCTAATGGGAACGCAGTAGGAGGGGGCGGTACGACAGGCGGAACACTGTCGGGCGTACCGGGGAGTGGAGTAGTCGGTGGAAGTACAGTCGGAGTCGGAGTTGGCGGTGTAGTTGGTGTTGGAGGAGGCACTAAAACCAAAAAGTTAAATCCTAATGCAGAACTTGGAGTTGAGGTTGGTGGAAATGTGGAATCTGTTGAACCGGGTTGTAGTGGTGTTGGCGCTGGTGCGGCCATTAAACCGAAGCTTATCATGAAAGGCAATGCAGCCGTAAGTGGTAATGTTAACAATGCCGCTGACGCTGGCAATATTGGTGGGCAAGCCACTAAAAATACTACTGATATTGCACATATACTACATCTGATTGAATTGGTGGAACTAAAGCAGCAGCAGATAGCATTGGGACACGATATAGTTAAAATTTATCATCATTTAATAAATGAACTGGCACGCGTGAAGATCCCAAGACAGACACCTGACGAACTTAAGCGTTTTAAAGAAGACATCGTCAAGGTTGGTGCCTTCTTCAGCAAGGCCAATGAAAAACGAGTGTATCTTTTCTATCTTCGGGTGGTATGCCAGCTAATAACACAGGGCGAAGGTGAGACACCTTCCTGTGCTATTGCCATAATATTTCAGCTCTTCAGTTCAGAGATGGTCTTTGAGGCGGTGCAGTCTATGCTCGATCATAAAATCCCCGAACAGAATATAAGAAAGACTGTCAGACTACTAAGTGAATGGCTGCGTATGTGCAACTTTTGCCAAAACCTAAATTTGTGGATCATAGCCATATTAAGAGGATTACAGGAACAGCAAAAGCAATCACTTTTCCGGGACATTGCCTTGGAGAACATTGAACCACTGTTTACATCAATAATATTGCCAGTGTTACGACCCAAAGTATATCCCATCGTATACCACATGCTGTCATCCATTGATCAAACACCGGCAGTGTTTCATAAGGTAGGTTGAAAAAGAGTTTAATATATGTACGAACATGCATACAATTGTTGTAACTATTGCTGCTCTTTCAGATTTTGCCGAAATTCCCACGCGTCATAAATTATTTGAAGCAACAATCAAATAGACCTGAAGACTATGCTGAAGAAACCAAAAAGATCCTACAAAAGTTAGTGGATTTGACAAAGTCATTGATGGTGCGCTTCTACGGGTATGATGATTTGTACGAAGCAGTGGTAAGTTGTCAGATAGAGCTTTTCAAATATCAGAAATTTATTACTTTTATACTTTATAGGAGCTGGCAATCAAGGATATACCATATTCTTATGGTTTACCAAGTTACGACAGCAATACTAAAAGCGTTGATTATAACAATGTGGGTGCCGAGGTTATACCCCATGACAGCAATGCCAAAGTCGGTCTAGTTAATTTAGGCAACACATGCTATATGAACAGTGTTCTCCAGGCGCTAGCTATGACCAAGGAGTAAGTATGCCCTCTATTCAACTTCTTCCAAAATGAATTATAATTTTTTTATTGATTTACTCAGATTTAGTCGAGAGATATTATTGTCGCAAAGTAAGTCACCATTGCTAATGAAGATGCAACAGCAAATTGCATTAATGCTATATTCGACAAGATTCGAATTAACACCATCTCGTGTTTTAAATGCCACACGACCACCTGGCTTCTCAGCAGGCTTGCAACAGGATAGCTCTGAATATTTAGGCTACTTACTAGAAACGTTGCACGAACAAGAAACATTGTTTCGTAAAAAGCAGGCAGCCGAATCTGTAAATAAGTCAAAAGCAGAGGCTGGTACATCGGCTGCAATATCGGATGGGGAAGCAGCTGAACCGATTGCCAAAACACCGAAACAAGCGGACAAAGAAAACGGTTATGTCAGCAGCGGAGAGGGGGCTACAGCATATTTCAACACATCACACACACAGCAACCTTCCACAAAAGATAATCCCACCACCACGAACAGCAGCGGCAGCAACATTACCACTCACGTTGATAACAAAGCAGACGCCCAAAGCTGCGTCGGCAGCACTCCAAATGCCTGCAAAGACAACGTAGGAGCTCAATCCACCACTATAGAGAAAACGTTTACTGGAACATTGGCTACTACGTACGAGTGTCTGACTTGTGGCTGGAAGAGTCGTATAGTCGATAGTTTTCGTGACTTGCAGCTATCATTTCCTGAAGTAAAGAACGATTGCGCCTCCAACTACTCCGTCCAGGATCTCATCGACTACTATTGTTCGCCGGAGAAACTGTATGGAGATAATCAATACTTTTGTGAACGTTGCAAGAAACTTAGCGACGCCGAACGTTACATAAATGTTATAAGCGCACCAAAGAATTTAATATTGACATTGAAGCACTTCAAGTATGATCAAAAGTATCATACGCGCGCCAAATTAATGCACAAGGTGTTTCACGACGAAAAGGTTGGTACATAAACATATCGAGGCGTTGCCGCGAAAATAACGTAAGCTTAATTTTCATTGTGATGGGAAAATACTCCTTTTCTTTTTGTCGCTTACGTTTTTTGTTGCGGTTCGGGCTCGATATACATATATGAAAGTATTTTCAAAGGAAAGCTAGTTTTTAGCATAAAAGTAGTTGCTTTCCAAAGAAGCAGTCAAGTGGAAGTAATTTGTGAAGTTCCCTTTTATTTAAATAGTTTGCAAAGGAGCAGTCAAGCAGTTTCCAATGCTCACATGTTATACTATTTACATTCCTTCCTTCTATTTTTCAGGTATCTGTAAAGATCTGCGCTGCTGACACGTTGGAGGAAACCGCCTCGGTACATTACGATCTTTATGCCGGTGTCGTTCACTCGGGCTTTAGCATGGACTCGGGTCATTATTATACTTATGCCGCTGATGTCACCAATAAGTGGTATAAATTCAATGATAACGTAGTAACACCTTCGAAATCTGAGGAATTGCACAATCTTACACCACCCAACACACCGTATATACTATTCTATCAAATGGGGGCACGCTCCAATGAAGCAGCATCCTTCACAGGTTCCACAACAAAAGTAGTCAAAGTAGATGTGCCAAGCCCACTATCGCTTGAGGAACTCTCGCCGGACCTGCGCAATTATATTGTTCATGATAATCATGTTTTTGCTGAAGAAGTAAAGGAGCGCATTTGTAAGAGTGGCGGCCGCGCGGCATTACAAAGTGCACTAGCCTCAAAGCGTGGTGGTAATGGTCGTGGAGGCGGTGGTGGACGTAGTGATTACGATGATGATAACGATTCAGACCAACCGCCACCTTCTAGTGGCTGTGGCGGAAATGCGCTCGACATTAATGTGAATCGTTTTGTGTACTAAGCACTCTGGCTGATGCGGATGTTTTCATTTTCCATTGTGGTTTGTAAAGAAATGTATCGTCCGTTGTATGGAAATGAAGAAAGAAATATGAATGAAATTCTCGAGTCAAGATAAATGAACAGTCTTATTCTGTATCACGAACGATAGGCAACATGAAGGACTCGTCTGCAGAGGAATGCTTGAAAACTTAGTCCGGCGGCATCATTCTAGCCGGCTTAAACGCGACCGAGACCATTTCAACGTAATATACCGAAAGCAAGACGAAGACTACCGATAGAGTAATAAAATCGCAACCAGAGATGTTGTCGTCTGCAGACGAATCGTTCATGTTGCCTATCGGTCGTGATACAGAATAAGGCTGGAAATCGTGTAGTTATGAGACTTTTATTGAATGCCTGCGGTCGGCAAATCGAGAAAATAAAATTTGCATAAATGCATATAATCCCCAAGAATATAACTACCTAGAATCGAACGCCTATTAGTCTCCGACATATTTATACATACATGTGTATAACATAGATGAATGTATGTTGTTATTACTGTTATCCTTAACTTTGTAATTGTGTAGTATGTTCGCCAGTAAACTATGCAGCAGCGAGCCACAGTAGCATAAAATGTGAAAATTAAGGGCAACTTTAGCGATAAAGATGGAAAATTAGATAATATATATATGTATGTAAGTATTTCCGTAAATGCGCAGCATTCCGAAGGGAGTACTAAGCCGAAAATTAACAAATATATTCAAAAATTTGTATTTGTTATTTGTAAACAGCAACTATGTATGTGTAATTACTATTCCAATCACTATTATGCAAATAGCAACAACTACAACACGTACGGTTGCAATTCTAATGTAAAAGTTATGCAGCAATACCTATACTTTTGTGTGTATTTTAGTAAAGATTCGCAGAGCAGTAGTAACACCCAGTAGGAAGTGAAGCGATCACTATTCGGAGAGACTGTAGTTGAAGATTAAAACATTTATACGATTGGGTTAGTGTGCGTGTTTGACCGCAAGGATGTTTGTGTGCATGTGTGAGTGCATTATCCTCGTAATTCAGTGCATTTCTTTCAACGCTATTTTTTGTTAATAATGGTTTGCAAAAAACCAACTCAAACCAAAATTGAACGCTAGGTATGACTTGAGTTAGAAAGTTGGTCTATTGCAAACCATAACTGATGGAAATGTGCAACCATGTTCAAATGCCGAATTGGAACTTAGTTGTGCAAATTGGCAATTTCCTTAAGTTATAGTTTCGAAATATGTAAATCAGGCTGATGCTTTGCAATATACAAACTTGGAACTCAGCCTACCTGCGCAAAAGCAAACCAGTTAAAATTATTTTCCCCTTTATTTGTTTGTTATGGATTTAAATCATGCCAACTTATCGATTGATATACAGGAAATATGTAAATTAATCGCAAAATTTTTAAAACGTTACAAAAATTCTGTAATTTCTAAATCAAGTTCAAACCCGACGAGCCAAACCTGCCACATGTAAAAAAAATCCTTTGTACGAGTAATGGACAAGTGCATTCAAGTAAGGAAATATCGATTTGATGGCATCGCAAACTGATTTTGTTTTGGCCTCGGCTTTACTTAAAAAATGTATGCCAATAAACTCTTTGCAATTTACTCCTTTAGTTTTATTCCATTATTTACTTTTATTTTGGATCTATTTTAAACGTAGTTAGAGTTTCATGCGCAAAAATAAAAATATAAACCTAGAAAATAAGTATACCATATACATACATACTATATAAATATGAAAACTTAAAAGAAATTTTTAAATAGTATACTATTATATAAATACATACGTACATACATACCTTAATATACATAAAACACAAATGTATTGCAATGTAATTGAAATACATAACTATACATTATACAAACATACATACTTATGCATAATAAAATAAATACTATTTAACACACATCAAGAGCTCGTAATATTAAATATTATTTAACTTAAGGTGGGATGTCATGTGAAAGGCTACTACATATACATTAATACATATATAATGCATATACATATGTATATACATATGTGCATGCGTATTTACTTGTTAATACACACAAGTATCATAAGTAATTCGATTTACATAAGTTTCATTTACAATTTTACATAAAGAGTTTCCTTTTGGTTAAGATAAATAAAATAAAATATGGACGAACATCGGCAAATAGGCTTTTTTACTGCTTTGTTAACGTCGTTGTTGTAGTAACGGCACTTGGGCCTTGAAACTGCCTTTTTAATAGTTTATCCCATCTAGAGTTCAACCGATTAATCGGCATCGGCAAGTATCGCCAAACGAATCGGTATCGACATTGGCCGTTTTAGCCGGTTCTTTTTACTTTTTCCGCACTTCGTTCCATGTTATTTATTTTTTACTTTTTTAGTTCCTTTAAAGTTTAAAATATTAATGCACCTGATTTCCCGTCATAAATGTGTTCTCATGTTTCGTTTCTATAATGCACGGTGGCGAGAATGTAAGTAGGGAAGACACATTTTAGCAAGTTTTGGCTATTTTTCTTTGCTTATATTTTTTTATGAAAATATAGCTTACTATCTAAAAAAAACACCATAAATCAAAATTTCAAACTTTGTAGAGCATTTATAAATCTTCGACAAATTTTTACAAATGTTCATAAAAATTTTACACTGTTTAATCAGATTTTTTAGATTTTTTTTTGCGGCCGCGTTTTTTTTTTTTTTTAATTCCAGTATGATAAAGTGCAAGTTTGAAGTAGCTAGGACTTACCGTATTGGGGTTTGTTAGATAACGATCTACACTTTCATAAAAAAATAATAAAAATTAAATAAACGAAAGGGAAATATCCCAAGAAAGCTAAAAGGTCGTCACTACACAAAAAGATACGCGTAGTCAAGAGGAAAAGTTTAAGTAAATTATGTGAAGTCATAATCGTTCTAATGCTACTGCACACAGTCATGGAGCAGCCCAAAGAAGACCCGCTTAACTTCATGAGTTAGGGCCCATGTTAAGTCAGAGTGATCACAATCAGTCTGCGGTAGGAAATCCAAACCAAGGTTGAAGGAGGCACGCTTAGGCACAGCGACGACCAGAGAAAGCTCTTAGATATAAATAGATATTTTTAATATATACTAATATTCATACTACAGAGATGTTTCATTCCCACGACAGCCGGTTCTACGCACCGGAGTTGAAATAGACTTTGGTGAACACGCTTCGTCGGACCCGGAGCCATGCGCGAGCTATTTTAACCGGCAGTTCATCTTGCATCCTCTGGTTTTCACCAGCGGTGAGGTAAGGGTAGCCATCGGGAAGGCGAAAGCCTCCAAAGCCATTGGACCCGACGGACTATGCATGCTGATGCTGAAAAACTTGGGTCCTACGGGAGTAGCGTACCTAACGGAGGTCCTGAATTTGTCAATGGCCACTCTCGTCATTCCAGGCATCCGGAAGATGGGGAGAGTGGTCCCACTGCTCAAACCGGGGAAACCAGCCAACAAAGGAGAGTCTTATCGTCCTTAGAGGCCTTGCTACTCCCGTATTTTACAAACCACCTAACCCCAGAGAAGCATCAGCATGGATTCCGTAAAGTGCACTGCACAACAACAGCACTTAACGCCATAAATACCCAGATAACTCGTGGCCTAAGCCGAAAGCGCCCCTGTCTAAGGCGTTAGACACTGTCAGCCATTCAACGCTACTAGAAGACATTGAGGCCTTCTCTCTCCCACAGGGACTCAAACGGTGGTCGGCGAATTATCTGAGTGGTCGTCACTCGTCAGTAACTTTTAGAGACAAATCGAGCAAGCCGAGGAAAATAAAACACACACACACACAGGGTGGTGTCTTTTCCCCATTACTGTTTAACTTTTACATTTCAAAGCTCACTCAACCACCAGAGGGAGTCTCGATAGTCTCTTATGCTGACGATTGCTCGATCATGGCGTCCGGGAATGGAATTGATGACTTGTGCTCGAAAGTAAACGGTTATCTCGCCGAGCTTTCTCGCTTCTTCACTGCAAGGAGCCTAACCCTCTCCCCTACAAAATCCTCAGCCACACTTATAACCACCTGGACGAAGGAGGTCAGACTCCAACTGGGAATTCTCGTCGATGGTACTCCAATTCCAACTGTGAACAACCCGAAGATACTCGAAGTAACATTCGATAGTCTGCTCTCCTTCTCGGCGCATACAACCGCAATTGTCAACAAAGTACAAAGCCGCAAGAAGGTCCTCAAGTCGCTAGCCGGCAGCACCTGGAGCAAAGACAATCGTTGCTGGTAACGTACAAGGCAATTAGCCGGCCTCTGAACTATGCTGCGCCTGTGTGGTCACCGGGGACTAGTAGGACGCAGTGGATGAAGCTGCAGACTTTCCAGAATACGGCACTCGGGGCAGCGACAGGATGCCTTTTGATGTCGCCGCAACACCACCTGCACGAGGAGGCCCACATGCTCACTGTTAAGAAGCATAACATAATGCTCTGCAAGCCATTGCTGTTGGGGGGCCACAGGTGTGGCCACCCAAACAAACAACTCCTTGCAGGAGAGCCTTGGCCCAGCCACGTCAGGAGGCATCTCTACAAACTGACGGACGAAGTCCAGAGGTTCATCAAACAACCTCGGGATCCGACAGCTTATCGAGAGGCTTTGAACGGCATTCACAGAGAGGCAGAGTCTAGTTATGTAGACTCCCGACCTGTGAATGCTGTTCTGGGCACACAACCACCGGACGTGGACGAGACAGAACTTCGTCTGCCTCGCGAGACTCGGACCACAATAGCCCAACTGCGCTGTGGTTACAGTAGCAGGTTGACCTCATACCTTGGGTAGCTTAAACGAAGATGTTCTCAATGAATGCCCGACCTGCGGAGAGTCACCCCGTAACTCACTGCTTCTCTTCGTATGCCCTCTAAATCTCACCACGCTAACGTCCCTGTCCCTATGGACAGACCCCGTCGAGGCTGCACGCTTCCTAGGGCTGCCGTTAGTAGAGCTTGACGACAACGATTGAGGGACTAACCGATCTGGGCGGGGTTGTTGTAGGCGCTACAACAACAACAGATATAGAAAAAGTTCGGGTAAAATCTTGCAACTTCATTCTCTACACAACTCTCCAAAAGACGCTCTCATTTACAGGATTTTGGAGTACGGGAACATTATTCCTGCAACTTCCTGCAATTTCGTGTAAAATCCTGTAAGTTCATGGAGTACTGGATCAGAGCTAACATCTACACAAGCTGGAAATTTGGTCGAGCGATCTCTGTTGTTTTAGCGATTCAACTAAGGAGCCACCATCTTACCTGCTTCTGAAGTTTGATGCGTTAGCTAGGCGACGAACGAACAGCATAGGCTCAATGTTGCCAGAAAGAGAGCACACACATTCTTTAAGGCTCTGTTATGCATACTTGGCATTGCTTGAGAGTTGTCACATAAGGAATCTGTTAAATGAGCTTCGCGTGTAAGCTGTTACCCAACGCACAGCATTACATACGTAAAAGTCTGTTGGTTTTTGATTTCTACGTAAAAATGGTATAGCAGTGCATGCAATGCCAAGTATGCATAACAGAGCCTTTAGAACGTGAGCAAGAATGGAAGAAGAAGAAAAAATGTTGCAAGGAACGTAAACAAGTTGCACCAGTGTGACGTCATGCAAACAACGATTCTGTCAAATTCGTTAAGAGAGGAATAGCGGTCCGAGATCGGCGCAACCTTTGTATTCTCTCAATCGTGGGTGGTATGGTGACGTAGGGATGTAAAAAACAGCGATATATCCAGCAACATCGATGGTCGTGGCTTCAAACATCGATGATAGTCGATGTTTTTATGAATCCGATCATAAATTCCAATTAATTAATGTAAGTAAGAAACAGTTGAATTCCTTTAAAACTAGTGAAATTGGAAGATTGCTTAGCGTTATCACCCAATTTGTCAAATGACTTCCTATCGACTCACCGATGAGCTCGCCATCGGATGAAAAGCAGGCGGGCCGCAAAACGAACTTGTTTGTAGTACTAAACTAAAATTTTAAAACATTTACATTAAGACTACACCTCGTTTCAAAATAAACCCCACCACATATTGACAA